CTCTTCACTTCTGATATTCACAAACAATTGGCTGGATTAGAGTCGGACACTCGAGTGTTTTTGTCGGCGCATCCCAACATCGTGTTTACGCTTGCGGACAAGGGCAACGTCACTGTGGCTATGGACAGGGACGCTTACAGAAATAAGATAACGGAGTTATTGGGAGACTCGGACACGTATGTCCCGATTAAAAGAGATCCGACTAAAAAACTTACGACAGCTTTAAGGTCTATGCTCACCAGATGGAAGACCAGAGGTCACATCAAAGATTCTGAGTACAGAGCGTTGTACTGTAGTGACTGTTCTCTTCCGAGGGCTTATGGGCTGCCAAAGATTCATAAGCTTGGTTTCCCTCTCAGAATTATCGTGTCATCGGTGGGCAGTCCGTTGTATTCTTTGACTACGTTTTTACACAATAAATTATTCAAAACCATCCCGAGAGCGGACAGTCACGTAAAAAAACAGTTTTGGACTAGTCGAGAGGTTGAGGAGTGTGCACTTTATGGAGGCGCATGAATTAACTTTTTTGGATGTCACCTCTCTTTTCACGAACGTGCCAACGGATGTAGCGATCGGCTGTGTGAACGAACATTGCATGCTGTTTCCAGCGATTGCTCCCTACCCAAGAAGGAGTTCTTGGGAGCGATACAGTTTGTCCTGGACTCTACGTTTTTTTCCTTTGACAATGTGATTTACAGGCAGAGCTTTGGCACCCCCATGGGCTCTCCAATATCACCGGTAATAGCGGAATTAGTGATAAGGAGATTGGAGACGGTGTCCTTGATGTCTTTGAATTTGGACATCTTATTTTATTATAGATACGTTGATGACATATGCACTGCGTTGCCTTCCTCACAAATCGACGGATTATTAGAGCGATTCAATTCATTCCATCCGCGCCTGCAGTTTACCGTTAAAAGAGGCGGTAATACGATTAATTTCCTGGACGTCACCGTGTCTATTAACAAAAATCGCTGCAATTTCGATTGGTACCGTAAGCCAACGTTTTTAGGTAGGTTTTTGAACTTTCATTCCAATCATCCATTGATGCAGAAAAAAGGCATCATCTTTTCGTTAGTCGACAGAGCCTTTTTATTATCCGACTATGGTATGTTTCACACTAAAAACTTGACCTCTATCATTAATATTTTACTA